ATCGTTTTGCACGTTGGCGAAACTATTGTCTGAAACTCTGTGTTGTCTCAGGGTAGTTCACATCTTAAGGCTTTATCAAATTTATCTGACAATTGAGAAGCCCATGATTTTAAGCAATTTTGTTTTCATACACTTTGTGCTTAATTAACACTTCTCAGGTGATATTGGTATATTTACCCCAGTGTTGTTGTGTGACAACAAGTCATAAATAAGTGTAGATTTTTTTGCTGCATATGCATACTGTACTTGCATTTACCACTTCTCTGTATGTACTTTTACATATGGAAACAACAGACCCTGTGAAAATAGATGCAGAAAGGCTGCGATGTTTGTGTGGGTTGGGTTTAGTTCTTCTCGACCATCAGTGTTTAGTGTCACATGCATTTTACATGTTCTTTGGCACAGGGGCCTTTAGCTTTTCTCCAGAACAAAACGTACACCCAATTTCTAGGCCTTCCTTTTCATAAGCTCCTGAAAGGATTCCTTCCTTATCAGTAGGGAGCTTTAATTAAATCATCGAGCGCTTGCATTTCTAGTTTCTTGCTTCATTCTTACCAGGTTGCTTTCTTGGTCTCTTCATTGTTGTCCCATCATTGGTATTTGTCTTTGTTTAATTCAGGTTAGAACTCCATCTACTGTCACTTCCTGGAGTAACCAAACTCCCACTGCTCTTCCAAGTATCCCACCGGTAGCTTCTGCCTCAGGCACTCAGGTATAGACCTCCATTCCTCACCTCGCACACACCACACCAGCAACAGAGCTCGGCCCCAGGAGCCTGCGAAACACAGCTGTAAAAAGAGTGACCTGCTGTCTTAGCAGCCACCTCTAGTGTGTTTTTACTCTCTCATATTCCAGGTTACTTTACTACTCCTGTTTGATTTGCTGATCTCTTGCATGTCATTTTGGAAAATGTGTGACACTTTTGCCATTCCAGGCATATGTCAAATTTGGAAGCTGCCCGTATCTTTGGCGACGGCCATTGATGAAGTGCTTTCCACTTGCAGTACCATACAATTGTTTGTTTTCATTTATTTAAATTAGTATCATTAGGTAAGAGAGGTTCCTCATTCCTGCGATTTAGACATTTAGACAAGTGAGAGCTGCCGTTTTACATGACATGGCATCATTGTCCCTTGCTGATGCGGTATGTTTCTGAAATTGTGCAGCAGAGAGAGAAATTAAAATTGCCTCTGTGACAATAAAGAAGAGGCTTCCATTGCCATCCAGGATTCCCCTTCTCCTATAACCCAAATCTCTCCACTCCAGTGCTGGTATACAGGTCTGGGTCAGTTTACACACTGTATCACTTCAGGAGTGTGGCAGCAGATGTAGAGATCAGCTGTGAAATTTGTGGTATTGTGGGGAAAAATATACCATTGCAGTTTAAATTACAGTGCAGCAATGTTGCAAAGGATTCTGGATTGACGTTTGTATTTAAACATTCTCTTTCTGATTGATTTTTTTTCTCATTCTCAATGAGCCCTTTTAGCATTCACCCAGGTTTGTGAAGGTTGAATGCAGTTTTGGAGATAGAAATTGGAATATTCCCTATCTGACAGTTGACTAAATGTTCTACAGTAAATAAGTGAAACTACCCCACCAAAGTACCTCTGTGTTGTACTCATGGCTGTGCGAATCCCTTCAGACCTTTAAATTGATCATTTATAATAATCTCTATGAAATCCTTGAGCCTTGGAATTGCTAGTGATGCAATTTGTAGCATTCCTCTTTGTAATGAGATATCTGTGATGGGAGCTATATGGTACCGCTGTTCTTTCAATGCAATGTATTGAGCAGTTGCTAACTCTGTAGCACTTTTAGAGGGAAATGAGTATGCACGTTTAGAGCAGTGATTCCAGAACTAAACCCAAATGGGTCCTGGGTTCAATTCTGGACTGGGTTACCTCCAATGTCAAGTCCAAATGTTCTCCCCATGTTTGCATGGTTTTCTCTAGATGCTTGAATTTCCTCAAAAGACATGCTTGTCTGGGTCAAGTGGTCAATTGTCCCTAAATGCCTGTGTGTGTATCCTTTGAGCTGGCATCCCACTGTGACTCCCATGAATACTGCATTGGTATCCAGCTCACTTCCAGTCTATAGGATGCATTGGTTATAGGAACTGTGTGCATTGATCTAGAATAAACCCAGGAGCTGAAGATTTGCACAACATTTTCATCTGAAGGTTCAGTTCTGTTGAACAGTTTTATAATCTGCTTCTGAAGTGAGATAATTTAAAGAAGGAAATTACTATTTCTTTTTTTATAAATATATCAAGCCAAATACCCTGCTTTGTTTTGTGGCCAGTCATCAAATGTGATAATTATCATTCCAGCACATTGCTCTGACAGCCCTGCTGGCTACAGATGGTTTCTACTGAATGCAGTATAAAGAAGCTCATTAAATAGCAGCCTGATTTTTTTAGAAATTGTAGAATTCTGAGTATTTGTTAAATTATTTTTTTTCTGTACATCGTGTATGCACAAAGTAAGACGTGTTCAAAAATATTTGAGTGATATTCCTTTCTGCTTTACAGACCTGAGTTTGGGCTGATATAAAACTTTTTGTTTTTAAATCCAAGCAAAAAATGGCACAAATTGCAAATGTGGGAGATGGGATCTCTAAATGTACATAGCACACACTAAAGACAAGACAAGTCTTGCATGAAGAAATGCCTCCTGCGTTACAGCCCATGACCTGCTTTAAGATGGTTTTTCTGTCTTGTATTTGTAGCACCTGTGGTTGTTTCAATTGAGTTTGTTTTTACTTTTAAAAAAAGTTAAAAGAACAAGGACCACACACTCCATCTTAGCTTGTTTGGCAGTTGAAAACTGATTAATTTGGAAATCACTGTCAGCCATTTCTTGAAAGAAGCTTGGGTATCTGCCATATTAACTGTCTGCATACAATTTGGTTTGGTAATTTAATGCAACTAAGAGATATGCAATACAAATATACTACATAAAGCCAAAAATGGACAGCATCTGCCAATACATACCAATACCATCCAAACATACACCAGTAATAAAATAAATATCAGTGAAGGTGAGTAAGCTTGACTGGGTAGCTTATTTTCTTTGCAGTTATTGACATCTATATGTGATTAAGAACATGTTTTTCAGAACTAAATTAACTAATCTTTAATCTCTCGCTAATTACCAGCTGAGAAACTCTGACATAGCTGTTCATAAAGACTGTCAGAGAAAGGGCTCTGTGAATATTTTGAGTGAAATGCTGTATTTGCCCTGTCTATGAAAAAAGAACTTGCTGTTCTTTATGGTAGTGAATTGAAGTACATGTCAACAAATGTCAGGACTCTCGAACTGAATTATGCTGTTTGTGCGTGTCCGTCAGTGAGATTTCCTGTCTGTTTCCCCTCCCAGGCTGAGCCACCGCCTCCTGGCTTCGTGATGCAGAGCATGGCCAACCCCAGTATCCCTTCTTCAGCTGCTCCTGGGTACATGTACCCACAGACCAACACGCAACAGGGATACCCTCAGAGTAAGCGTCTCACACAGCTGACCTGGATAGCATAGGGAATCTGCTGCAGTTAGGAAAAGAATGCATTGCATTACAGAATGGGCTTCTGCATCACACAAAGTTACCCTGAAGGAGAGCTCCATCTGTGTGACAGTTACAGAAGCAGTAAAAGTTGTCCATCTTTAGTTATGAGCACTATACAGACCCAGTATTGTTGTTTTTGTTTTATAGTTGTTTTTGTTTTTTTTTTCATTTCCGGGTTGATTCTACTGTGGGATATACCTTATAGTGGTTGTTCGCTGAGCCCCAGTCTCACAAATTCAAAGGCTGTTTTACTGCAAAAATAAAGGAATTTCATGGGCTCCAGCTTAACTCTGTTGTTGCCATAAGGCCTTAAGAACCAAATTCAGGCAGAACCTGCAATTCACAGGAAGGGACACACTCTTTTATGCCGAATATCTGGCAGCATCTTTATAAGTAAGAGATTCAACAAGGAAATTGTGATACTTTGAGAAAAACCTTGCTTTTAGCCTTAAATGTCCCAGTTTCCAAATACACAGCGGTTTGCGTGATTTAAATGAGGATCCAAAACTTTAAAAGATTGTTTCCTTTCACCAACCAGGGCATTGGTCTTATGTCCATATCTCTATAAAAGAAAATAATTTGTGTGCCATTACACTGTCTTTCAACGCCTGTTTTTAACTTAGCATTAGAGCTGCATTTCCAGTGCCAGCATGACTAAATATTACCTCTCGAACATTGATCTGTCTGCTAGAATCTAACCCATTTTTGCATGTGGACTCCCCTTGTCAAGACTAGCTAGACGAGGTCCTAACAAGACACTGTACTAACAGCTGCATGTCTCTTTTTCTACCAATGTAGCTTACCCCCAAGCCCAGGAGTACTCTCCCGGAGTGGGGGGACCAACAATCTATCAGCCTCACCAACATACTCCTCCTCCTCCTCCCTCCTCTTCATCCTCTGCTCCCTATCCAACTCGCTACATGCACCCAGCTCCCTCTCACCCCCTGCCACCTGCCTGTGCAGGGACCCCGTTTCCTGGGCAGTCGCAAGGCTCCTCGGGGGGCCCCCTCCCTCCTGCCTCGACCTTCTCCCCCCCCCCTCCTCCCCTGTCTTCCGGAGCCTCCTTCCAGCATGGAGGGCCAGGGGCTCCGGCCTCCTCCTACGCACCGCCTCCACCGGCAGGAACCACAGGTACTCTCCCTGCCCCAGCGAGCCGCCCGCCTCACAGAAACGGGTCTTCACTCGGTGTGCTCGTTTTCTTGTCGCCCCCTCTTTTCCTGAAGCCTTCAGGAATAGAAATTTATAGGTGTTGCTGTTTTGCTTCAAAAAGTAACGGAGTAAACAAGCTTACCTTTTATTTCAGTCTTTAAGGAAGATTGACAGGGATTTGTTTTTACTTGAGAGAGTGGAGTTCTTGTTTGAGGCCTATGGTCGACAGTTTTAGGTACTGAATTATGTGTTTCCAGGGCAGTTGAAAAACAACTCCATCGAGGATGTCGAACATGACAAAACCATTTATCCTTCATTGTCCATTGAATTTCCCTTCCAATCTGATATGCAGCAACACATATCCTGATACCTGGGAAACAGTTCAGATAAACTCATCTGGTTCTGTGTTGGGGCTTTTGGCAGATACTGCCCAAAATAGTGTTGAGAAACTCTTTGTTGGTATAAAAATGCAAACCAAGCATTAGACACTTTCCATGAAAGAAGGCTTTCCCTGTTAGAAACGTCAGCACTGAGGGATTTTTTGTCAGGGTATCCTTTGTATTTGTATTACAGTAATCCTCTGCCCTTCTTTGCTGCTTGAGAAAAGGCGAGCTGTGCTAGTCAAGCAAAATGTTTTTGAGAGTGGGTGTTCAGTTTCTGTGTGAAAATATTTCCTTTTAGCATGACTGACCATTTCCTTCAGTGATTTATTATTTATTATGCTGTGGTGTGAGCAGCCTAAGGAATAGTGGTGTATCCAAGATTGGATTCTTTACACCATTTTATCTTTGTGTGAATTCAAGGAATTAATTCAATTTCAGGTTTATTTCTGTTTGCAGCTGTTCGCTATACGTGTTTACAGTATATCCTATAAATACGTTTATGGCAGCTATTCATTTTGCTAATGAACATATTTTGCCTTGTGTTATGTCACATCTGCAGACTAGCAATATTTCTGAAACTATAAGAACACAGTGTAGTTTAAATCTCTGCAGCTCTCCGCCTTTCAGTTGATTTCTACATTTGAGAAAGATACTCCCAAAAATACACATTCTGGCTGTTCTTGAAATTGATCAAATATAAAACCAGTATAATGTCAAAATGGAAGGTGACTAGTATTTAAAACAAACAAATGGCTTGATGACTGTCATACAGCAGCACAAGAAGAAATGCAAGTGAAAGGAAGCCATATATCTTATCTAGCCCATATGGTTGTGAGTAGCTAACAAATCCAAGGGTCTCCTTGAGGTGTTTCTTGAAAGAAGACAGGGTATCGACTTTAACAAAATGGCTTAGTACCTTGTTTCTAACTCCCACAGCACATTGGGTCACTGTTCAGAAGTAACTTGTAGTAATACTGCTTTTGGACTTGTCAATCTTTAATTCAAGTTATTTCGTACTGGCTCTTGTATTTTGATAAGAAATTGGGTCCTCACAGTTGCCACGTCAAAAAACAAAGTACAAAAGTACAATGGGTGCTCTACTTTTAAATGGTCACTAACAAGCTAGGGAAGGAAACCTGGAGTAATCCATGGCTGAATTGGGAGCTGCTTGATCACACTACCCTTTCATGTTTGACTTATCCGGGAAAGCAATGTCCTTTTACACGGCAGCAGTGTTTTTCTGACTGAGCCAGTGGAAATCCTTCTGCAGGCTGAGCACACTCTTGTTCATCGTTTCTGCGGTTTTGGCCATCAATTGTTTTATTGCAAAAAAAACTTGTACATCCAGTCAAATTGACATTTTTTTTAATGAACCTTAAAATGGAAAAACTTAACCTTTTGTTTGCAGAAGGCAAGTAAAAGATGAGTAGATCCAAGTAAAATAGTCTGAAAATGTTCAAATTGTGAACTATTTTTTACATATGAACACAACAACAACTTGCTTAGTCCACTTCCTATCACAGACATAGTGTTATGTTAACATTTCTGCAGACTGCATTGTCCTCTTCTGCACACTACCAAAAGGGACTCAATGGAGTTTTATAACTTAGAATCTAGGATCTTTCTCGAATCTGTGTTTAATATGATTTTATTTACAGGAGGAGGAAATGATCCTGACACTAGCTGTTATCCTGAAGGTGAATTGGAAGGAGGAATATTAGTGAAATCATCCTTGCAATTCATATTGATTTATTTTGATCTCTTGAGAATCAGTAGATTGGGTGACAAAATAACTAATCAAATGGACATAATTTTAAAAGTACTCCCTTATTTTGTGGCATGGTGATTGCTTTAAATTCTCACTGCTATCTTCTGTAATTGGACTAGCAGATAATTTGTAGAAAAAAA